TGAAGGTACTCGGTCTGTGTAGATGTGCGCACGGAATCTCCTATTTTCCATATGTCCTACTCATTTGGCCAGAAAGGTGTGCGTGCGATCAGAAACATCGGAAATTGCTTACCCAAGCCTTTTGCGCATCTAAACAAAAACGCATATCCCATCCAAATGCGAGGAAAATTTTTAGTAGTTGGCATGATAGTTCGAGATGTGCAGCTAATGTGCGCAAGATGGAGTTGGTAGTGAAGCACTATAGTTCGTCGTCCAATCTACCAACATACAACTTCTTTACAATATCATGATGAGACGACTAGTGACGCACTACTGTAATCGTTCTCGATTCTCGTCAATCATGAAGCGAGAGTTACGGATGAGAATACGCAGCTTCATTACTACGAATGTGACGGCGGATAGTGTTCATCTTCTTTCCAAACAAGTACTGTATTTTTCATGTTATTGAGGCTTGGACTGGGCTAATCAAAAGCGATACAAAGACTTAGAAAACCTGCTCATTGAGGCTCTTCATACGACAAGTGACATCATCATCGACGAAAACAACGAAATCACTTTTGCAGTTGACTCACCGACGGTAAAAAAATTTGATATCAGTTTTTATAGATGAATCACCTCAAAGTACAAGACATTGTCCTGTAATCCGCAATATGTCAATTGCATCTCATAAGCAACGTAAAGGCTTTTATAGATAAGAACACACCTTTGAGAAAAAGGTGAAAACTATAAATAGTCATTTTGAGTACTTCTGTAGATTTTACTTTACTTCATACGCTTCCACTGAAATCACAAGGGTAAGCCAAGTTCCTCGCGTATTTCCGCGCTTGAAAGGAAAAACTGTTCGCTAACTATTTTGATGCTAAGCAAAAACTATTAGTCAACTCGTGATTTCACTTGCATTTTCAGTCTCCTGTTTCCACCTGATGCTCCATTACCTGCTGTTTCTCCCGCTCGCTCTCGCTTGCAGTTCTTCTAAAATTACACGAAAACAAGCAGTAGGTGTTACCGGTCAACTGATGTGTGGTGACCAGCCAGCCACAGGTGTGAAGGTGATGCTTTGGGATGAGGATACCGGTCAGCATTTCACTTCGCTAATGTAAGAAGTAATCAATTTTTTTAAGGGCCGGATCCCGACGATAAGCTTGATGAAGGTGTAACTGACTCAAATGGAAAATTCAGTTTGCAGGTGAGTCGTAACAAATCAGAACGGAAAAAACACATGGAGGAAACTTTTTGATTCGCTCCTGAATTTTTTTTTGAATCAAAACGGATACGAGATACATATCAGGGTGAGGGAAAGAGGTGCTCATCTGTCTCTTGATTTAAATTGCTGTTTTGCCGTTATGACGCCCGTTGTGCAGTCGGGTGCTCGTCTATAACAA